GGTCCAGGCGCTTGGAGAAAGTGTGTCTGGGGGCCGATCGGGCGCTGCCGTTCCTCTGCGACGCCGGGGCAGAATTCCGCTGCTCCTCCGAGGCTCCGCCCTTCGGACACTCCCCCCCTTCTGTCCCCACCGACTGCTGGGGGTCCGACTCCGGCTGTGGGGGCTGCCGGACACAAAGATGAGATGGGATCAGAGGACGGACAGATGCCCCATTGTAACGTTCAATCAGGGACCCCGAAACTGCCCCCGCCCCACTCCGGGGTCCGAGGTACCCCGAGAGGGGCCCTATATCCGGGGGACATTACCCCGAGAGGGGCCCTATATATCCGGGGACATTACCCCTAGAGGGGCCCTATATATCCGGGGACATTACCCCTAGAGGGGCCCTAGGTTGTGGCACAATGGTCAGCGTGCGGGGGAAGGACGGGAACCGGGCCGAGTCTAATACATATAGATTGGAGGGCGAGTGGGGAGTATACATGGACAGAACGGACCCACCCCTCCCCCGGACAAATACGGACCCCCATCCCAGGTCACGGATGTCCCACGGAGAGCTGGATGTAACTGCATGGGAGCCCCACAGATCTGTCCTTAGATGAGAGCTGGTACTACGCAGATGGGAGTGCAGTGGCCTCCTCTAGCGTTGGTGGCCTCCTACAGCGTTCCTGGCCTCCTACAGCGTTCCTGGCCTCCTACAGCGTTCCTGGCCTCCTACAGCGTTCCTGGCCTCCTACAGCGTTCCTGGACTCCTACAGCGTTCCTGGCCTCCTACAGCGTGGCCGACTGTGGGAGGGCCCCTACTCTACACTGATGGGCTCCAGGAAGAGGGTCTAAATTCCGGCATATATGCGCTAGTCAAAGTCGCACCCAGAACTCCGTCCTCCGGGAACGGAACGACTTAGAAACGTTCCTCCACCATTATTCTCATCCATGCGCGTTACTCCTCAAGTCATCCCTGTACTCGGCCACTCCCACAATTCTTAGCTACAAAGGAGGAGGAGCTTATCGGGCCACTGGGTTATATCTGTGCAGATCCCGAACCCTAAGGCACACAGGCCTCAATCTACACCATGTCTGTGTGAGGCCAGAACCGCATTGTGTGCGATTGCTTGCTCGTGGTCTCCACCATGCTCTTGGCTACAGGTCCCCACTCTGGAGGGGGAGGGGCAGAGACACCAGTCGGCAGATTTTCGGCTACATACCTAGAGGCGTCTCGTCCAGAAGGGACTTTGCGTTCAGGTCGGCACCGTGGGCCCCCAGCACCTCCACCAGCTGGATCTGGAAGGAAGAGACATTGACATAGAGATGAATTCGAGGTCAGAGGTCACATTGCACGCGTGTCAGAGGTCACATGGCACGCGTGTCATCGACAGTCCTCACCTGTCCCCAGCAAGCCGCCGCGTGGAGCGGCTCCCACCCGTCACAGTCCCCGGCGTTCACCGAAGCTTTGTGATCCAGGAGCAGCTCGGCAGCGTCCAGGTAACCGTTGGCTGCCGCGATGTGGAGCTGGAGGGATAGAAGTGAGTCAGTGAGAGTCGGCAGTCAGTGGGCGGGGCCATAACCATCACATCATGTGACACATTTCACCAATATGCCGATTGGCTGCTGAGAGTTGGGCCTGGTTAGGGTTCCAGGCTACACCAAGATGTCGGACTGAGTCATTCTACATTGCGGCCTGTGTCCCGGTAAGAGAGCGTCACCCCCCCGGTGTCACCGGTACAGGAAACGGGGGGAGATGCCATAGGATTGTCACCTAAAGAAGAGGTGATGGAAGACATTGAATGTTCCCGGGAGGTCCTCCAAGGACAACCCCCAATAGGGCCCCCTGAGAGCAGAGGACACGACTTTGTACCGTGCGGGTCCTACAGCAAAATGCCGAAACGCTGATGTGCCGGAAAGATGAAGACATCCAGGAACGCGCCCGCCGGCGATGGCAGACCTGGGGAGGTCCATGAAGAATGGTTTTGGACTTGAAGACATTGAGATCCAATATGCCCAGAACCCACCATTCATAGACCAAACCGGGGCCCAGAACCCACCATTCATAGACCAAACCGGGGCCCAGAACCCACCATTCATAGACCAGACCGGGGCCCAGAACACACCATTCATAGACCAGACCGGGGCCCAGAAC